TTTTTAGGCCACCAAATTCTTGGTGGTCTAGAAAAAATTGGAGAGTTTTCTAGTTCAGTGAATGTTTGGGGTTTTTGGGATTTCATGAAAAAAAAACAACTTCCTGGAATTCCTGTATTTTTGTATTCACTAGAAATCCTGAAATCACCAAATTTTATAATTTTCAATGATACGGATTTTAGAGTTCGTCAGATTTTCAAAAATTTTTCAAACTCTAGGCCATATACTGTAAAACCTGCATTAATATTTTAAAAATTCGGAATTTCTGGGTTTTTGAAAATTCAGAAGTTCTAGATTACCAGTTCTAGATTACAAAAAATGGAAATTTCTGCAAAAATTCAAAATTCAAAATTCCAATTTTCGATGTGGAATGTCTGAAAATGTTGAATTTTTCGAAACACAGTAACCCATGGATAACCCTACAGTAACCCTAGTCTACAGTAACCTGCAACATATTTCAGAAATTTCATAAAATTCAAGTTCTGGAAATTTCGGATTGTTCGGAATTTTTCAAATTTCAAATTCTGAAAAACCTGAAAATTAAAAAAAAATCCAAAATTTGAAAACAAAAAAAACTTTATCAAAAAATCTAAAATCTCGAAAAAATCAGATTTTCAAAAATAACGTAAAACTTGTATTAGAAGAGCTCCTTTAATAGAAGGGCCCTCCGAGAGGGGCTTGGAAAAGGAGAAGGGCCCTCCGAGAGGGGCTTGGAAAAGGAGAAGGGCCCCTGGCAGATTTCGTCTCGACACTCCTCATCTCTCATTAAACTACAGTAATCTGGCACGCGTGCGCGCGAATTTATGACCTAGTTTCTTGTACCACTCTTTTTGGGGGGAATTTTTTTTGAACTTTTGGAATTAAGGATTTTTCCCAAATTTTTGAAATTTCCGACTTTTTGAATTTTTTTTGCAATTTCGAGGGCCCTTCTATTACAGGGTTCTCCAGCCTCTAATCGTGATTCAAAAAGAAATCGGTTTCTCGGTGCCCTCTAATTACGTAATCCCTCAAAAAATAGAGATGTACCGAAATGAATATAATCCCAACACCATACTGTGTCGTGTCTCCTCTATCTACACCTCCCTCTTCTTTTTTCTCCCTCTTCTTTTTTGGCGGTAAATTTCCAAAAGAACTGTCATTGCTAATCCTACCCCAATCTGTTGCGACACACACACGGAAGTGGTAAGGAAGACGCTTAAGTGGTTTTTGGATCTTATTTTTGGGGATTTGGAGGTAAAAAATACCGTTAAACCTGTAGAAGGGCCCCTCTAATTGAAGGGCACCTGTAATAGAAGGACCCCCCGGAGATTTTGTTTTTTGCATGTACAAAAAATGTTTTTTTGGACAAGAAAATTGAGGGTTTTATTTATAAAAATCTGAAAATTCAAAAAATTCGAATTTTTGAATTTTTGGGTTTTTGAAAATTCAGAAGTTCTAGATTACTGTAGTTATCAAAAATCAGAAATTTCAAAGCTTCAGAAATCCGAAAAAATGGAAATTTCTGCAAAAATTCAAAATTCAAAATTCCAATTTTCGATCTGGAATGTCTGAAAATGTTGAATTTTTCGAAACACTGTAACCCTACAGTAACCCTACCCTACAGTAACCTGCAACATATTTCAGAAATTTCATAAAATTCGAGTTTTCGAGAATTTCAACCAATTCGTAATATTCAGAGTTCCGGAAATTTTTCAAATTTCAAATTCTGAAAAACCTGAAAATTAAAAAAAAATCCAAAATTTAAAAACAAAAAAAAACCTTATCAAAAAATCTAAAATCTCGAAAAAATCAGATTTTCAAAAATACCGTAAAACCTGTATTAGAAGAGCTCCTTTAATAGAAGGGCCCTCCGAGAGGGGCTTGGAAAAGGAGAAGGGCCCCCGGCAGATTTTCATGAATTTTGAACGAAACTTTGTCGAATTTTTCTATGCGCAACTTTGGAAAACATTGGCCGGAATAATTGAAGGGCACCTCTAATTGAAGGACCCCCCGGAGACACTTTGGAACAATAGAAGATTTTCTGGATTTCAGAAAAAAATTGTTGAGATTTTGAAATTTCAAATTCCCGCGTGAAATTGTACTGAGCTAGTTATTAATTTGCCATCAACTCTCTTGTGAACTAAATTAGAAAACATCCAGCCATCCCACGTTTCAGACAAATTTTAAGAGTCCTAGAAATATTGAAATTTCTCCCACGATTCCCGAATTCCCCCCAATTTTCAGCCACCGACCACCACTTTCAGTTGTGTATGAAAGATGAGCGAAAAATATTCGGGTAAGGAACACTTAAGGTTACTGTATTGTGAAATGGTTAGGATTACTGTAGCTCAAGACACCGGAATTATAACCCGCCCACTTCGGTTACTGTATTACTGTAGTTAGAGACCAAGAAACTCGAGAAGTTTGTGATTACTGTAAGATCACTGAAGCTAGGATTACTGTAGCTTAAGAGACCAGAATTGATTTTAGGCTTGCCGACTTTTCGAAATCTTCAGATGTCTGGGATTACTGTAGTTCCACATCGAATAAACTATTGGATTTCGAAAATCTGAAATTCTGAAATTTGAAATTCTGAAATTCTGAAATTCTGAAATTCTGAAATTCTGAAATTCTGAAATTCTGAAATTCTGAAATTCTGAAATTCCGAAATTCTGAAATTCTGAAATTCTGAAATTCTGAAATTCTGAGATCTTGAAATTCTGAAATTCTGAAATTCTGAAATTCTGAAATTCTGAAATTCTGAAATCCTGAATTTCTGAAATTCTGAAATTCTGAAAATCTGAAATTCTGAAATTCTGAAATTCTGAAAACCTTGAAATTCTGAAATTCTAAAATTCTGAAATTCTGAAATTCTGAAAACCTTGAAATTCTAAAATTCTGAAATTCTGAAATTCTGAAATTCAGAAATTCAGAAATTCAGAAATTCTGAAATTCTGAAATTCTGAAATTCTGAAATTTTGAAACTCTGAAATTCTGAAATTCTGAAATTCTGAAATTCTGAAATTCAGAAATTCAGAAATTCAGAAATTCTGAAATTCTGAAATTCTGAAATTTTGAAACTCTGAAATTCTAAAATTCTCAAATTCTCAAATTCTCAAATTCTGAAATTCTGAAAGTCTGAGACCCGCATTTTCAGATAATACATTCTTCTTCGCCAACTACGGATGCTGTATACCAACGGAATCGTACGCCTGGATACTCGTCGCTCTTTTCGTCACGACTGTTCTCGTGCTGCTCATCTGTATGCTCACCACTGCCACCATTCGATGGGTAAGGTCTCGAATGTTCAGAATTTTATATAGAAAGCGTTAAATTTTCTCATTTATCTTGTCAAAAGCTTCAAAATGAGTATAAACATGACCATATTTGGACGATTTTGAATTTTTCGATTTTTTTGAAAATTTTCGTGGTGGGACCAAAAATCGAAATTTTGGAACTAAAACTTGAAAATTTGATTTTTCCTTGTCGAGAGTTTCAAAATGAGTATAAAGATGACCAGAATCGGTTCACTTTGTGAAATGGGGTTAGAGACGCAGTTTGTCTGGCTTCTCTGACTCTCGCGCCTTTCAAAGACGCGTAACTCAGTCAGTTTTAGTTCAATTTTGATGAAAATACAAAAATCCAATCTGGCTGGTTAAGAGCTTCAAAATGAGTATAAACATGCCCATATTTGGAGAATTTGAATTTTTAAAAAATTTTCGTGTTGGGACCCAAAAAAATTTTTTTTTTTCGAAAAGTGGTCGTGTTTATACTCATTTGGACCGTGTTCACCTGAAAAGTCTAGAAATACATGTTTCTGTTACTGAAAATCAAGTTTCAAAAAGTTACGGTACTTTTTTAGATTTTCTGAAAATTTCCAGATGTACAAACGTCGTATGCGCAAACGCTTCACGATTTGAAGCGGAAAATTTTGATGGATCAACTGAATGCACAGGAATTCGAAGCCAAATTAAATTATATGGCTCAAAGGAATAAAAGTGAGATTTTCGAAAATTTTGGAAAAAAATTTTTGATTTCAAAATAAATTTCAGGTTGTCGAAATGATGATGGATCGCGAGAAGGACCACAGCCGGAGAAATTGACAATTTTTGTGGACCCGGCTCAAAAAGAAGCTGAAAAACATTTGAATTCGGCGAAGAATAAGAAGAAGAATAGGTAAAATTCTGAAATTCTGGAATTTTGAAATTCTGAAATTCTGAATTTCTGAAATTCTGAAATTCTGAAATTCTGAAATTCTGAAATTCTGAAATTCTGAAATTCTGAAATTCTGAAATTCTGAATTTCTGAAATTCTGAAATTCTGGAATTCTGAAATCTTGATATTCTGAAATTCTGAAATTCTGAGATTCTAAAATTCTGAAATTCTGAAATTCTGAAATTCTGAAATTCTGAAATTCTGAAATTCTGAACTTATGAAATTCTGAAATTCTGTTTTCAGAAAATTCACAAATTCAAGAATTAATTTTTTTTTTGAAAAATCTACAGTTAATTACCCCTAATTAACCCTGATTGTCACCCTAATTAACATATTCTTATTGAATTTTCCAGCAGTCTCCAAAAGCCAGTCGTTGGTGGACCAAGTCACGGAGTGAGTATTCATTTTTGAATTTCTGATTTCAGATTATTTTTGAAATTTAGAATTAAAAAGGGCTAAAAACTAGGGTTACGGTATTTTTGAGGTCTTAGTGGTCTAGAAACGTCAAATATGAGTTTTTAGGCCATATAAATTTTAATGGACACCACCTCATCATGTTATACAATTTTAGTACCCCTTTCCCCCATAACTACCGTAATCCTTTTTTTATTTTCTTCCCTTGCAGCTAATTTACGACCGAGATGAGACGCCGATAGCGCAGAGTACACTGGCTAGTCAATCCAACAGTGAGTTTATGGAGTTTTGGGGACAATAGGGACCACTTTTTTTTTGAAATTTCTGTAAAAAAATTTTCAGCAAAATTATTTTTTTCTTTACTAAAAATCCATATTCCAGCCAACCCAAAAATGCGAAACGAGAATCGCTGGATGTATTTGCCAAAATCTGCTCAAGCCAAGGCTCCAGTCAAGACCCCCCTCCCCGACGACACGACGCCAATTCCAACGCCTCAAATTCCTCAAATTCCCCAAAAAGCTCAAGCTCCGCTTCCTCTGGCTCAGGCTCCGCCCCCACCGCCACCACCACATCTTGGCTCCTATTATGATCTTCCTCCAAATATTACAGCTCCACCGAAGCTCAAACCTTCACCTCTGAAAAATCAAGATATGGGTGGAAATTCTCCAATTATCCCATTGGATCCAACTGATGTGTCTTCAGAAGTCACGAAAAAAGACGCGTTGGCTCCGCCCACGTCTTCAGTGCCAACGTCTTCTGGTGTCTCTTCTGGAACCTTGACGTCGTCTGGAACCACTCCAACCACCTACACCACACCTCCAGAGACCACGCCTTCTGGAAATTCGGATTCTTCGTTCACAACTCCTCTAACGACTTCTTCTAACGCACGTCACCGGGAGAAGGCGTCAAACAGAATGTTCAATACGGTCAGGATGATATTGTTAGTCCGCTGGGAGCGCCGGCAGAATCTGTGGAGCCGAAAAATCTGGAAAACGGTGACAAACGGAAGGATGGTGCTGGCGGAAGATCTGAATGGAAATATTATAATTTGGAGAGCTCGAAAAAGAAACGAGGAGCAATCACTACGATGAGCACCACAACCAAGTCGTCGACGTGAGTGGTGGCCTAGAATCCGACAAATTTTTTTTAAAATCTAGTCTTGTTTATACTCATTTTGACAGGCTTTTTTTGCTGATTCTAAAAATGTAAAAATTTTGAATATTGAATCAAAAATGACTGAGGTATGAGCATTTTTATAGATGACACAAAATTTCGGAAAATCGAAAAAATTGAAATTTGAGAAACCTAGTCTTAATTATACTCATTTTGACGGGCTTTTTGAGCTGATTTCAAAACTATAAAAACGATTTTTTTAGAATCAGAACTGACTCAGTTATGTCCATTTTTTCAAAAAAAGTTTTTTTTTTGAAATTGTTAAAAAATTCGAAATTTGATAAATTTAAACCTAGCCGTGTTTATACTCATTTTGACAGGTTTTTTGTACTGATTCTAAAATTGTTTAAATTTCAACTATCTGTGGAAAACTGACCCAGTTATGACCAGTTTTTAAAAATATCCAACATAAAAGTTTGAATTTTTTTTTCGAATTTTACTAACTCGGTCAATTTTTGCTCGATTTTTATGATTTTTGGATTAAAATAAAGGAAATTTTTAGTTCTTTTCAATCGAAACATTTTCACACTTTTAGCAGCAACCGCCGCTCAAGAACCGGCTCGTGGCTCTTCGACTCCACCGGCTCCAACCGCTTCGATTCGTCCGGACCGCCATCCGGACCGTCCGCCAAGACCAATTCGACTGTTTCGAGTTCAATCTTAAAAACTGATTCTTCATACTATAAAACGGCATCTGTGGAGCAGTTTCCACACGGCGCATTCACTTTTCAGTCTAATTAAAAATTTTGGAAAAAAAAATTCAAAAAAAATTTTTTGTAATTTAATTTTTTTTGTTTTGTGTTGAACAATAAAATGAATGATTTATTGAAATTTGGAACTTTTATGAAAATTGGAATACTGTAACCAAATCAATTAGCAGAGCAATTAACCAATTTAGAATGCCCAACACGGATTTGGACACTTCTGAATGAAAGTTTCGAAATATCCCTTGGTGACAGACATGATTACGGTATGTACGGTGGTCTTGTTCAGTGTTGGTTTTGAGGAGAGGACCTGAAATGAATTTGAACAACACTAACAAAAAATATGAAACATTTTTAGAATCTAGGTTGGTTTTTGGCTTTTCAGAATTTCAAAATTTCAGAACTTCAGAATTTCAGAATCTCAGAATCTCAGAATCTCAAAATCTCAGAATCTCAGAATCTCAGAATCAGAATCTCAAAATCTCAAAATCTCAAAATCTCAGAATCTCAGAATCTCAGAATCTCAGAATCTCAGAATCTCAGAATCTCAGAATCTCAGAATCTCAGAATCAGAATCTCAGAATTTCAGAATCAGAATCTCAAAATCTCAGAATCTCAGAATCTCAGAATCTCAGAATCTCAGAATCTCAGAATCTCAGAATCTCAGAATCTCAGAATCTCAGAATCTCAGAATCTCAGAATCTCAGAATCTCAGAATTTCAGAATCTCAGAATCTCAGAATCTCAGAATTTCAGAATCTCAGAATCTCAGAAACTCAGAATCTCAGAATTTCAGAATCTCAGAATCTCAGAATCTCAGAATCTCAGAATCTCAGAATCAGAATCTCAAAATCTCAGAATCTCAAAATCTCAGAATCTCAGAATCTCAGAATTTCAGAATCAGAATCTCAAAATCTCAGAATCTCAGAATCTCAGAATCTCAGAATCTCAGAATCTCAGAATCTCAGAATCTCAGAATCTCAGAATCTCAGAATCTCAGAATCTCAGAATCTCAGAATCTCAGAATCTCAGAATCTCAGAATCAGAATCTCAAAATCTCAAAATTTCAAAATCTCAGAATCTCAGAATCTCAGAATTTCAGAATTTCAGAGTTTTTGAATTTCAGACTTACAGTATAAATTCCTTTCATGCTGACATTCGAACGTCCCAACTTTTTCATGCAAGCGTTTCCGGGGTCACGACGGTTGTCGATGAAGAGTGGGTCCTGTAAATGGCGGTCTAGAAAATCAATTTTTTGAGAAAAGTTCTGCCATCGTGACGTTTTTTTTTCAAATTTTCATTAAATTTTGAATTTTTGAAAATTTCGAAAAAAGTTATTTTTGGAGTTTCGTCAAAATAATGTTAATCTAGCAATTTTTGACCAATTTCAATAATTTTTGTCTTAAAATGCTCCAAATTTTGCCAATTCTTACCTTATCCGGATCGTAGTTTGTTTGCAGAACAAACCAATCGTTGTCACCATCGAACAACTTTCTCTCGAATTGAACAGACGTCGTGTTACGGACCAAAACGCTTCCCTCGCCCGGATTGACACCACCCAGAATGAAGTAGGCGCCGGTGAGCAGTTTTACTTCGGCGATTTTTTCGCGGGCACACTGAATGAAATGGGATTACTGTAGTATTAAAACGCCGAAAATTCGGCTTCGAATAAGTCAAGATTCATGAAAATCGAGCAAAAATAGTTCAAAATTTCGAAAATTCTTTTTTAATTGCTCATGTTTATACTCATTTTGAAGCTCTTAGCAAGCTAAATTCAACAATTGTATTTTCAATTCATGTAATTGAAAATTTTGAAAAATTCTACTTAAAGGAGGCGAGACAGCAAAAATTTCGGGGGAAAGTTCGGGGGACGAAATCGAGCCGCGCTTATGTAGACCATCGGTCGGCAGGCGCCTTCGCGCCCCTGTAGCTCAGCCGGTATCGACGCTGTACCCCTGAGCTGCCTGTCATGAGTTCAACCCCTCATGGGGGTTCTCTATGCAAAATATCAGGAAAACTTTTTTTTTTTGATGTCTGGCCTCCTTTAAAATGAAAGATGGTTCAAATTTCAGATTTTTTTCTTCTAAAAAACTACCGTAACTTTTTAAATGGCGAAATGAAAAATTTGAAACATTGATTTTTGTAATCAGCAGATGAGAACGGTCAAAATGAGTATAAACATGCCTAGTTTTCAAAATTTTCGAAAACATGAAATTTCTGAAAATCTGAAAAAGTCTGGAAACGTTCAAAAGTTTACAAAATTGCTCATGTTTATACTCATTGTAAAGCTCTCCTTAAGCTAAATTCACTTTTTGCATTTTCAGTACTAAATAACCAAAATCCAAAATTTTCCCAATACCTGGAAATCCATGCAGTTCTCGAACAACCAACGCTCGAAATACATGACGAATTGAAGGTCCGTATTGGCGTAGGCTCCCATGTACCATCTGGCGACATTGAACAAATCTGGTTGGACCTTAGCGTTCATGGATAACGAGAAGTGGTGAGGTTTCATGGCTGAAAAATCGATTTTTCGAAATTTTGATTCTAAAATTTCAAAACCTTATAACTCGACTAATTTTCAACCGATTTTTTAGATTTTTGGCTTAGAAAATCTGAAATTTCCTACTCTTCAAATTGTCAAAAACTTACCAGTCAAGACACCAACATGTCCAGCGAGGGTTGATCCTTTGAACAGGAGTTGTCCATTCTTGAAGAAATTGATATTGACACTAACTTTCTTCAAAGCATCGGTGAGACCCCACGACTGAGCGGCAATGTCCCAAACGAACAATTGACCGAAATCCAAGTTTCTGGCGTGATAAAGATCCTTATTGTCCTCGGTTTGAGCGACGATCGAGGTGCAGAAACGGGACATCTCGTAGAAAATGTTCAAGAACACCAAATTTCCAATTGGCACCTCTAGAACTTCGGCAATTCCCAGCACTTCGTCTTTGTAGGGATTCATGATCATTCCTTTATCCATTGCTTTTGCTGTGATATTACCCAAAAGTTCCCATGCATTGACTCCAGGGATGATTGTGAAAAAGTACTGTAAACATTTGGGTTCTCTTTTTTTTCTAGAATCTAACTTTTTGGTCCATTCTGAAAAGCAATTGAATTTCGCTTAATACTGTCAAAAAACCATGTTTCTAGCTTTTCTAGGAACCGAGATACAGCCATTTGAAGTTTTGGAGGTTAGAGACGCAGGGTGTCTCGTCGTCTGGCGTCTCTAGCCTCCGAAACTTCAATGGTCGTATCTCGGCTCGTAGAATAGCTAGAAACCTCAAATTTAGACAGGAATGTGTAGAATGCTATGAGTAACAAATTGAGTGTAAACTCAAAAGGTAGAGACGCAGATAACGAGACACTCTAACTGTCTGCGTCTCTTCAAAGCTTCAAAAAAGTATATCTTGGCTCCTAGAATAGCTAGAGAAGTGATTTCTGGACGAATTTGTAGAAAATGAAATGTATTTTCAGAAAAACTAAAAATTCCCCGTTTGGGAAAAAACCAAGTTTTGATTAAAATTTAGAAAATTATAGAAATAAATTTTTTGTTAAAATTTTCACACTCTAAATTTTCAAGAAAATGGTCCAAAAATCAGTTTCTCAGCTCTTCTAGGAGCCCAGATACATCCATTTGAAGGTAAGATGTCTGCGCCTCTTATGCCAAGCAAGAGACGCAGCGTGTCTCGTCGTCTGGCGTCTCTAGCCCCCGAAATTTCAAATGGTCGTATCTCGGCTCCTAGATGAGCTAGAAATGTGACTTTTTGACAGGATTTCGGGGAATTTTGGCTAAAATTCGGAGCTATTGAGTTTCTAAAATTTGTGGAAAATTTGAAATCCCAAGAGTTATCTAAAATTCCAAAAAAAAGACAAGAAAAGGTGAAAATTTTGAATTCAAAAATTTTAGGAAACTCAGGAACGCCAGACAATTTAGAAAACTCAAATATTTAATGTTTTCTAAATTTTCAGGACATCGGGACATCTGGACACACAGACAAAGAACTAACGTTAAGAACATCGAAAACGGCACGGATGTCCTTCTTATAAGCGACGGCGATCTGTTTGAAGCGTTGACGTGGTGGCAAGTCCAAGTTTACATCGAACCATGGTACCTGGAATATTGAATTTTTTGAATTTTTAATTGAAATATTCAAATTTGGCTCAGTTGTAGCTTCAGAATGAGTATAAACATGACCGGTTTTGAAATTTTTTGAAAATTTTCGAACTTTTTGAAATCTTTCCATGTTGGTACTCATTTTGAAGCTCTAATTGAGCCAAATTGGAAATTTTTTATCCTTTTTTCACCTTTTCTGCTTGAGTTGGGTCATAGATATCTGGTCCTCCAACAAGGCAATTTGCTGGGAAATCTGGATTTTCCACTTTCCGTTGGAAAGTTGTTGGTAGGAGCTGAAAATTTTTCGAAAATTCTAGAAATGAAAAATCGTTGACCTACCGTAGCCAAGACAAGGAGGCATACAACGATTGGTTTCATGGTTACCCTGAAAAATGAGGCGAATTTTCCGAAAAAATTAAAATCTTGGAAATCCTAAATTTGAAGATTTTTCAGAATTTCAGTATTTCAGAATTTCAAAATTTCAGAACTTCAGAATTTCAGAATCTCTGAATTTCAGAATTTCTACATTTCAGAATTTCAGGATTTCAGAATTTCAGAATTTCAGAATTCCAGAATTTCAGAATTTCAGAATCTCAGAATCTCAGAATTTCAGAATTCCAGAATATCAGAATTTCAGAATTTCAGAATTTCAGACTTTCGAAATTTCAGAATTTCAGAATTTAAATATTTCAGAATTTCTACATTTCTACATTTCTACATTTTAGGATTTCTACATTTCAGAATTTCAGAGTTTCAAAATTTCAGAATTTCAGAATTTCAACATTTCAGAATTTCAGAACTCCCAATTCCAGAATTCTAGGATTTCCGAGAAATCGAAAATTCAAAAACCTGGAAAGTCTGAAAATTTGGAAAATCTAAATTCAAAAACCTGAAAATCCGGAATTACAAAACTCCGAAATTCCAAAATCCAAAAATGAAAAAATCGAGAAATTGAGAATTCCGGATTCAAAATATCTAGACATCCTAAAAACCAAAAATCCAAAAATCCAAAAACCTGAAAATCGAAAAGTTCAAAATCTGAAAAATTTAAAAATCTAAAACTGAACACAATAAAAATTCCAGAATGGATGATTTTTTTTTTCTTAAAATTTTGTGATTATCAGAAAAAATAATTCCGGCTACAGAAAAAAGCCACGCGGTGATAAAATGATCATCCTAGAGACGGGGAAAAATAGTTTGAGCACTTGAAAATTTTTTTTGAAGAAACCATAAATTATCTTGAAATTTTTGGTGTGCTGACACGATCGGAAAAATTTTAAATCATGATTTTTTTGAACTGATAAGACAGCAAAAATGATAGATGGGAAGGGAGAAAGGAATTAATTTATCAGCATACACCCAAAAAATTGGAAAAAATGAATATTGATATTTTCCAGAAAATTCTGAAATTTGAAACTTCTGCAATTCAGAAATCCAGGAATTCAGAATTTCAGAATTTTATAATTTCAGAATTTCAGAATTTCAAAATTTCAGAATTTCAGAATTTCAGAATTTCAGAATTTCAGAATTTCAGAATTTCAGAATTTCAGAATTTCAGAATTTCAGAATTTCAGAATTTCAGAATTTCAGAATTTCAGAATTTCAGAATTTCAGAATTTCAGAAATTCAAAATTTTAGAATTTCAGAATTCCGAACTCCCAGAATCTCTGAATCTCAGAATCTCAATTTCTCAAAATTTCAGAATATCAGAATTTCAGAATTCCGAACTCCCAGAATCTCTGAATCTCAAATTCTCAGAATTTCAGGAAACTACTTTTCAAAAATAAAACCTTCTGAATTTCTAGAAATTTCTAAATGAATCTTTAATTTTTGTTTTAATTTGGATACTGTAGTTTTGGAATATTAATTTTTCCAAAATTAGAAAAAAAAGTTATTTGTCATCTTAAAAATCGCAAATTACGTACATTCTAGCCATCAATTATCAGTAAATTTCCGGAAAAAAATGAAAGCGAATCAGAATTAATGTGACGACAAAGACAATTTTTGAGAAAATTAAGAAATTTTGAAAATCTGAAAATATGAAAATCTGAAATTCTGAAATTCTGAGATTCTGAGATTCTGAGATTTTGAGATTCTAAGATTCTGAGATTTTGAGATTCTGAAATTCTGAAATTCTAAAATTCTGAGATTCTGAGATTCTGAGATTCTGAGATTCTGAGATTCTGAGATTCTGAGATTTTGAGATTCTAAGATTCTGAGATTTTGAGATTCTGAAATTCTGAAATTCTAAAATTCTGAGATTCTGAGATTCTGAGATTCTGAGATTCTGAGATTCTGAGATTCTGAAATTCTGAAATTTTGAAATTTTGAAAATCTGAAAATATGAAATTCTGAGATTCTGAGATTCTGAGATTCTGAGATTCTGAGATTCTGAGATTCTGAAATTCTAGATTTTATGATTCTGAGATTCTGAGATTCTGAAATTCTGAGATTTTATGATTCTGATATTCTGAGATTCTGATATTCTGAGATTCTGAGATTCTGAGATTCTGAGATTTTGAAATTCTGAAATTCTGAGATTCTGAAATTCTAAAATCCAAAAAAATAAAATTGAAATTCAGAAATTCAGAAATTCCAAAGTTCCGAAAATTCTAAAATTCTAGAGGTCTAAAAATCTGAAATTCAAAAATTCTGAAACAAAAAAATTCAAAAAAAAAATTATTTTTATATTTAAAAAAAAAGACATTGACATAAAAACAGATTCAAGTAGTATAAAAACACGTGTTTTTGTATGATAATTAAGATTTTTCGACAAAATAAAATCTTTAAATGGCCTAGAATTTTCTAGGCCATCAAAACTTTTTTTTTTGAAAAATTCATATAGATTTATAAGTTAAAGTATCACAGAGCAAATTTGTTGATTCAGAATCACAGGGGGAGAATTTTTGGGAGGATTACTGTAGGTTAAAAAAAAATTTTCACAAATATAGTACAGTAAAAATGTAGACGCAGACAGCGGTGAGAATTTTAAAGGAGGAAGATGAGGAATCGGCCAAATCGTTGCCTGGAGCATCTGTGATGGAATTGTCCGATGGTGACAGTGTGACTCCGGGGGTGTTCTGGAAATTTATGAGATTTGAAAACTTTCAGAACTTCAAAACTTCAGAATTTCAGAATCTCAAAATCGCAGAATCTCAGAATCTCAGATTCTCAGAATCTCAGAATCTCAGAATCTCAGAATCTCAGATTCTCAGAATCTCAGATTCTCAGAATCTCAGATTCTCAAAATCTCAGATTCTCAGATTCTAAGAATCTCAGAATCTCAGAATCTCAGAATCTCAGATTCTCAGAATCTCAGATTCTCAGAATCTCAGATTCTCAGAATCTCAGATTCTCAGATTCTAAGAATCTCAGAATCTCAGAATTTCAGAATCTCAAGATCTCAGAATCTCAGATTCTCAGAATTTCAGAATCACAGAATCTCAGAATCTCAAAATCTAAGAATCTCAGGTTCTCAGATTCTCAGAATCTCAGAATCTCAGGATCTCAGAATCTCAGAATCTCAGATTCTCAGAATCTCGGAATTTCAGAATTTCAGAATTTCTAAATTTCAGAATTTCAAAATTTCAGAATTTCGAAGTCCCAGAATTTCTGAATCTCAGAATCTCAAAATCTCAGAATCTCAGAAATTCAGAATCTCAGAATTTCAGATTTTCAGAAAACTCAAAATTCGGGAAATCAAAGATTGAAAATTCCACAAAAAATAAAAATAAAGCTCCAAAAATTAACCTTCTTCTAGTTTGATTCCTTTTAAATTTCATTGGCCTAGAAAGCTGATTTTTGAGTTTTCTAGGCCATCACTACCGTACCTTCAAACAAACGCCCAACAGGTTATCCTTCAAATTAGTGCACAATTGATCGTCACGGGCGGTGCATGTGCAATTCGAGAAAATTGCTCCGACGGAAGTTTCGATTGTCTGATTCAGAAGGGTTTTGCATTTTTCCGAACAAACACCTGGAAAAAAGATTGCAGCTCAAACATTTCAGATGCTTCAAATAGCACCAAATTCTACAGTAATCCTCCTTCTCACCTCTTGCCGCATCAGCTTCACACTCGCTCATGAAAACGCCGAACTTCGAATTGCACTGCAAATCTCCTTCACACGCCAGCTTTCCCAGACTACAGTGTACTGTAGACTCGGCTGGCAGGAAATTACAGGTCCTCAACTCGTCTCGTCCCGGAATACACGTGGCATCGGAACGGAGAAGAACTCGGCCGAGCTTATTTTGATACACGTTCAAAACAGCGCTTCTGCATTGCGGTTGACACGTTCCTGTTGAGCTGAAAATCGAAAATTTGAAAATGTTTTTGAATAATCAGAAAATTATAATGAAAACCTTTAATTGTGTAAAAAGATCAAATTTCTAGCAGTTCAAGAAGCCCAGATACAGCCATTTGAAGATTAGAGACGCAGTGTGTCTCGTCGTCTGGCGTCTCTAGCCTCCGAAAATTTATATGGTCGTATCTCGACTCCTAGAATAGCCAGAAACCTCAAATTTAGACAGGAATGTGTAGAATGCTATGAGTAACAAATTTAGAGTAAATTCAGAAGGTAGAGACGCAGACAACGAGACACTCTAACTGTCTGCGTCTATTCAAAGCTTCAAAAAGGTATATCTTGGCTTCTAGAATAGCTAGAGAAGTGACTTCTGAACGAATTTGTAGAAAATGAAATGTATTTTCAGAAAAACTAAAAATTCCCCGTTTGGGAAAAAACCAAGTTTTGATTAAAATTTAGAAAATTATAGAAATAAATTTTTTGGTAAAATTTTCACACTCTAAATCTAACTTTTCGGTCCATTCTAAAAAGCAATTGAATCTTGCTTAATACTGTCAAAAAACCATGTTCCTAGCTTTTCTAGAAGCCTCTCTCTATTGCACGCAGTTCTGTTCAAAAACCACTATTCTAGCTCATCTAGAAACCGAGACATGGTCATTTGAAGTTTCATTAGGTTAGAGACGCAGTGTGTCTCGTCGTCTGGCGTCTCTAGCCTCCCGAAACTTCAAACGGCTGTAACTCGGCTTGTAGCCGTCCAATTTGAGTCCTTTTTTGACAAAACTACGTAAAATTTTTGCCGTACCTAATAATATAAAAGTTATCATAATTTCGAAAAATGCGAAAAATCGATTTTTCGATTTTTGAGAATATCGAAATTCTGAAAGATTTTACAAAACAATTTCTTCATTTCTCAAAAGTTTTCGTACTTCTAGCTCATATTAGAGCTGAGATATTACCATTCGAAGTTTGGGAGGCGTGAGACGCAGACGACGAGACACTCTAACCGTCTGCGTCTCTTCTAAACTTTGAAGGGCCGTATCTTGGTTCCTAGAGTAGCTAGAAAGGTGATTTTTAAATGAATTTGTCATGAAAAATTCAGACTATTTACGGAAAAATTAATTGTATGGTTTTTTTTTCAAACAAAAAAATGTTTTTTTTTTTCAAAATTCCAAAAATTGCAATTTTCTGTTACATTATGACATTAAACACTGAATTTGGAACATTTCTGTTAAACTTTCATCTTTCTAACACATCTAGAAGCCGAGATACAGCTGTTTAAACTCAGAGGTCAGAGACGCAGTGTGTCTCGTCGTCTGGCGTCTCTAGCCTCTCAAACTTCAAATAACTGTATCTCGGCTTCTAGGAGCGCTAGAAACTTGATTTTTTTTTGTGAACTCAAAATCTTTCAACCGTATTTCATAACTTTCAAAAGAATACTCTCAGAATTGGTCAGTTGTTCCGCTTGAGACAAAAAAAAAGTGGACAAACAAAAAGGTTGTCGGTCTCCTGTCAACGCCCTGTCAAATTTTTTGTACTCTTATGAAATGTGAAAAGCGCAAACACATATTTGAGGAAGTGATTGCAGTTTTCTGGATAAACAATGTCCGCTTGTTTTCGAAATTTCCACTTTTGAAATCTAGTTCTAGATTACGCTTCCTGATCATTAACTTTGAGTCGATTTGTCTCATTTCCTCTAAAAGATATAAAAAAGCTGTCCACTGATAAAATGTTTGTGATATTATGATAAACATTTTATCAGTTGACAGATTTTTGATAACTATTACAGTAACCGAGATAAATTGGCGCAAACTCACCAAGCTGCCATCAACGGAGCCAATCGATTCTGGCATTCCAAGTCGTTTTCACAATCCGTCAACGCCTTCGTACACGCTTCTGATGCATCCTGTGCATAGCATAAAACTGCCAAAAGTGGGACAATTGTCAGCCTCCGCATGGTTTTCTGGATATTGACTTGATTAGACTGATTAGTTGACATAATTTGGCAAGTTTCCGACGACGTCAGACGCATCCTTTTTTAGAAACTTTAAAACTGATTTTGCAATCTAGATTACGGTAGCTTCCTGATCATTACCTTTGAGTCGATGTATCTCATTTCCTGTAAAAGATATAAAAAAGTGGTCAACTGATAAAACGTTAATCATAATATCAGCAATATTTTGTTAATTGACTACTTTTTGATATCACTTACACAAAATGAGATATGTGGGCTCAAAGATACCGTATTTGCTCTAATAGAAGCCCACGCGAACCATTAACTTTAAGCTTGTATATCTCGGTTACTGTAAAAGATATCAAAAATGTGTAAACTGATAAAATATTTTTGAGATTATGATCAACATTTTATCAGTTGACAACTTTTTGATATCACTTACAGGAAGCTAGATAATTTAGATGAAAGTAAAGATTCTGGAGTCCCTTCTATTACAGGTTTTATGGTATGGTGTCTGAAAATATGGAATCCTAGAAAGCTTAAACTAGAACTTTTCTAATTGGAAGTTTTGAAAACCGGAATTTTCTAGAAAATCCAGAAAAAATAAACACGAATAATTCAGCGAAAATCGTAGTAGAATCTTGAAACCCCTACAAACTGACTCCAAAAATTTGAAAAATGCCTTTTTTCAGAAACCCACGCATACGTTGAGCTGAATAATCTCAATTCGTGTGGTGTGAGAGATAGCAAAAAGTCGTCAACTGATAAAGTGTTTATCATAATATCATCAACATTTTATCAGTTGACACATTTTTGATATCTCTTACAGTAACCGAGATACATAAGATTAAAGTTAATGGTTTGCGTGGGCTTCTATTAGAGCAAATACGGTATCTTCGAGCCCACGTATCTCATGTTTTGTAAGTGATATCAAAAAGTAGTCAATTAACAAAATATTGCTGATATCATGATTAACGTTTTATCAGTTGACCACTTTTTTATATCTTTTACAGGAAATGAGATACATCGACTCAAAGTTAATGATCAGGAAGCTACCGTAACCCAGGACTGCAAGAATCAGTTATTAAGTTTCTAAAAAAGGATGCGTCAAAACTGTTCAAATCAACTGGATTCTAAATAACTTAATCAAAAAAAAACTCTAGAAATGGCGGCAAGGATTATAGAGATTTTAGGAAATTAGGGCAATTGAACAATCAGAAATCCAAAAATCGTAGCAATCCTTGAAAGTGCACGAATTGGTCATTTAGTCAGTCTCTCAACAAGAGGACGAGAATCCCAAAAAGATAAGCAAGAGATAAAGGAAAAGATAATAATAGATGAGTGGTTGGTGTGTGCACCACTGTCTTTTTGACAGCTCTCTCTCTCTCTTCTGTCTCCCGTCATCATCGAAAAATTGTTCGTCTTTGTCTCCCTTCCCTTTTGCTCGGCGAGCCGGATACTCGGCGGGGTACAGGACAGGTCCAAGAAACTGAGCAAATAGAACTCCTTGTGTTTGACCGCCCGCGGCCGGTGGCCAGGTTCTTCAGTTTTACGGTTTTAGGTGAAAAGTCGTGTAGGCGAGATAGTGTGAGAGAGAGAGAGAAAGAGAAAGGGGGAATGTTCTCGAAAGAATAGACAAGACACATTAGATGTATTTTCCAATGAATCATAAAATCAATCTGCTTCCTTCCTGCCCATTTAAACTTGTTCCGGTTTTTTGAGATGGGCTTTGCCGCAGAGTACCCGGGCGCGGAAAAAAAACAAAAGTGGTGCCAAATTAGTTGAGTTTTTGGGAGGAGGCGAAGGAAAATCAGACAGACAACAAATAAGGACTAGACACCACTTTTTGAGGGCATTCAGGGAAGTCTAGAAACACTGAAAGGATAAGAAACTTGAAAATGAAATTATGAGGTTTTGAAATACCGAAATCCCGAAGTTTTGAAATCCCGAAATTCTGAAATTCTGAAATTCTGAAATTCTGAGAATCTGAGAATCTGAGATTCTGAGATTCTGAGATTCTGAGATTTTGAGATTTTGAGATTCTGAGATTCTGAGATTCTGAGATTCTGAGATTCTGAGATTCTGAGATTCTGAGATTCTGAAATTCTGAGAATCTGAGAATCTGAGAAGCTGAGATTCTGAGATTCTGAGATTCTGAGATTCTGAGATTCTGAGGTTCTGAGATTCTGAGATTCTGAGATTATGAAATTCTGAGATTCTGAGATTCTGAGATTCTGAGATTCTGAGATTCTGAGATTCTGAGATTCTGAGATTCTGAGATTCTGAGATTCTGAGATTCTGAGATTCGGAGATTCTGAGATTATGAGATTCTGAGAATCTGAGAATCTGAGAAGCTGAGATTCTGAGATTCTGAGATTCTGAGATTCTGAGATTCTGAGATTCTGAGATTCTGAGATTCTGAGATACTGAGATTCGGAGATTCTGAGATTCTGAAATTCTGAGAATCTGAGAATCTGAGAAGCTGAGATTCTGAGATTCTGAGATTCTGAGATTCTGAGATTCTCAGATTCTGAGGTTCTGAGATTCTGAGATTCTGAGATTATGAAATTCTGCAGCATTCTCAGATTCTCAGATTCTGAGATTCTGAGATTCTGAGATTCTGAGATTCTGAG